AGCCTGCTTGAGCTACAGTATGAGATCCTCCCATGAATGAATGAATGAATGAATGAATGGGAGAATATTGCATTCTCTTAAGCTCCCATTCCCTCCAGTTGTTTTAGGAACATCACTGAAGGGAAATAATCTCCACCAGACTGAACAGCAGATTTTCCTTCCAGTCAGATATTCATTCCCATCTGCATTTTTGTATTGTTTGAAAAACATCATCCAATCTGCATTATTAAAAAGTTTAAAAAATTTTTCTTTTTTAAAACTATTTTTATGAGGCCAGGTGTGGTGGCGCACGCCTTTAATCCCAGCACTTGGGAGGCAGAGGCAGGCGGAACTCTGTGAGTTCAAGGCCAGCCTGGTCTACGTAGTGAGTTCCAGGACAGCTGGGGCTACAGGGAGACCCTGTCTAAAAAAGACCAAAAAAAAAAAAAAAAAAAAAAAGATGTTTATGCAGGTTTTTGTTCTGGACAACTCCAGGAAGCACCATTCACACACTAAGTAGTCTGTACTCATAAACTTACATATCACATGGCTTGATCTTAAAGAATTAAAAAATGTTTTGGGAATTAAGCATATGTAGGTTTGTTTTCAGGCCAAATTTCTGTGTTTGGTAAGGCTGAGATTTTGTTTTATGGGGGGTTGGGGGGCAATCTTTGTAGATACTTTTGAACTCAGTTTTGACATTTTGTTATTGAAACTGTCACTTTAAGAAGACAAAGATTGGGGCTGGAGACATGGCTCAGCAGTTGGGAGCACTGGCTGCTCTTGCAGAGTACCTGGGTTCAGATTCCAGCACCCACATGACAGCTAACAACCGTCTGTAACTTCAGTTCCTCTTCTGAACTTTATGGGCGCTGCATGGCACAGGTGTTCTTACTTATATACAGGCAATACACTCATACCCATAGAATGGGAATGATAAATAAAGTATTTCTTAAAAAAAAAAAAAAAAGACAGGAGCTGGAGAAATGACTCAGTGGTTAAGAGCACTGACTGCTCTTGCAGAGGACCCAGGTTAGATTTCCTGCACCTACATGGCGGCTACAAACCATCCTTAACTCCAGTACCAGGGGACTCTGACACCCTCTTCTGACTCCGCAGCATCGCACGACATGGGTGCACTCACATACATGCAGGCAATACACTCATACACATTAAAAAAAAAAAAAAAGAATGAATGAATAAGGAACAGGAATATTTCAACAGCACTACACAGTTTTTGAATCTTCTTTGCTCTTAACTGTTGTTTCTAGTCCATGTTTTTGCAATCCTAACTTTTTTCTAGGTTGTTTAACTGACCCAGAGGTAGCATTAAGACTATAAACTTTTTGGTTTTGGTTATTGGAGAGGTTTAGTTATAACTGCAACATGGTCATAGTCTCCAGAGCCATTTACACCTGCTAAAAGCATAACACTTTGGTATTTATTTCTACAGTACTATTCATATGAAGAGGAAATATTATTTGTTGTGTGAGATTTTTCACAAATGTCAGTCTATGTTCTATGAGGCACATGTACTACTACTATCAGATGCTCATGATCAGTGTGCTGGTTAGTTTCTGTCAACTTGACACAAACTGAGACATCCTAAAAGAGAGTACCTCAATCAAGGAATTACCTCCACTCAGATTGGCCTGTAGCCATGACTGTAAAGGAATGTCTTTTTAAGAAAGTTTTATTGTTTTTATTTTAGGTGTGTATATTGCTTACATGTTGGTAGGTGCACCGATGTTGTGCAATGCCCACGGATTATCAGATGGCATGAGATCCCCTGGAACTGGAGTTACAGATGGTTGTTAGCCACATGACTGCTGGGAATTGAACCTGGGTCCTCTGCAAGAGCACCCAGTGCTCTTAACCACCAAGCCATCTCTCTAGCACAAGCATTTTCTTTTTATTAAAAAAAAAACTATTTTTGGTCTTTTTGAGACAGGGTCTGTCTCCCTGTAGCTCCAGCTGTCCTGGAACTCACCATGTAGACCAGGCTGGCCTTGAACTCAGAGTTCCACCTGCCTCTGCCTCCCAAGTACTGGCATTAAAGGCGTGCACCACCGTGCCCGGCTATAAAATTTTTTTTAATTTATTCATTTGGTCTATTTGAAACAGGGTCTCCCCTGTAGCCTCAGCTGACCTGGACTATGTAGACCAGGCTGGCCTCAATCGCTAAGAGATCTGCTTGCTGCTGTCTCCTGAGTCCTGGGATTAAAAGTGTGCATCATCATGCCAAGCCTTTTTGTTTTTTCTTCTCTAAACACTTACTGCTTTTATGTGTATGAGAGTTTTGCCTGCATGTATCAAGGTACACCAAGTATGTACCCTCAGAGGCCAGAAGACTGCATTGGATTCTCTAGAACTTGAGTTATAAGTGGTTGTGAGCTACTATGTGAGATGCTTGGAACCAAACCTGGGTCCTCTGTGAGAACAGCAAGTGCTCTTAACCACAGAGCTATCTCTCTAGTCCCAGTGAGGCGTTTTCTTAATTGTTAATTGGTCCCATCCTTGTACAGGTAGGCCTGGGCTGTATATGAAAGGTAACTGAATGCCAGGTGTGGTAGTTCATGCCTTGAATCCCAGCCCTTGGGAGGCAGAAGCAGGTGGATCCCTGTGAGATCAAGACCATCCTTGTGCACATAGTGCCTTCCAATCCGGCTGGGACTAGGAAGACCTTGTTATAAAGAAAGATAACTGAACAATCCAGGGTAAGCAAGCCAGTAGGCAGCTTTCTTCTGTGGTTTCTACTTCCAACTACTGCCTTTAGTTCCTGCCCTAATTTCCCTTGATGATAGATTTTAAGCTGTAAGAGGAAATTAACCCTTTCCCTGCCCCCTCCCCAGTTGCTTTTGGTGTTATCACAGCAACAGAAACCAATCAGGACAATTTAGTAAATGCTCATTTGACAGATAATGCAGAAAACAAGAGGTACACTTAAGATATTAGCTCAACATCATTTAATAAAGGGATTATTTACATATATGTATTTAGAATTAAACGTATTCAGTGGTGGATAAATACCCAGGAGAGCTATCACCCTAATAATAGAAAGCTATCACCCTAATACTAGAAAGTAAGATGGTATGTAGGATTTTTTAAATTTTTTATTGATTTTTTTGTGCATTTCATACAGAAAATCATCTTTATACCCTCTTCCCCTTTGGCACTCTGCCATAACACCCCCCCCCCACTGGAGTTCATACATTCTGTCATTTGTGTTAAGGCCTATCATGAAAAGTTAGTGTTCCCAAGTATCCCTCAGTGCAAATTCATCTACTAGGATTTAGTTATCCTATCTAAAGTCCCTTCCTTTAAGATCAGCTCTTCCTCCCCCAGCAGTAATCAGCTGCCACTAATTCAACTAAGATTGGGGCCTGCTGTTCATTTCCACAGTTCTGTGCTGGGTTTTTGTCTGATTAAGTTTGCATGGGTCTTGTGCATGTTGACACCATTGCTGTAGGTTTGTATGAGAAGGGTCCCAGGTACCTGTAGAACTGTTTCCGTATGGAAATGCACCTCCTCCCTGGCTCTTACAATCTTTCCGCACCCTCTTCCACAATGGTCTCTGAGCCCTGGGTGGGTGGATTTTAATCCAGTTTTGTCCAAGGACCCATATTCTCTGCAGACTCTTATTCTATGTTTTGGCCATTTGTGATTTTTGTTGTTGTTGTTCCTGGCCCTCTGTTACATGAGGGAGCTTGATGAGAGTTGAAATGCATTAGTGTTCTTTTCATTCCTTGTTCTATCTTCCATGAGCCTTAGGTATAGAGGTTGCATCCTAGATGTGTCACTTAAGACTTGGGCAGTTCACAGATCATCTCTGTGTGTGACCAGTTACAGAATTCTGTAATAGTCTCCGACTCTTTCGAAAGAAGTTTTTTTTTGGTGACTGGTGACTGGGATACTTGTCTGTAAATATAAGGATCCATATTTTGCACATAGTAAGAAATTACCTTTGTCTAGGGATGTGACAGTCTTGGGGATTTCTCTAAGATCTAAGACCTCTCCAGCCATGTGTATTTGGTTATGTTCACAGTAAGAAACACAAGTCTCCTCCCACTGAGTTGGCTTTATGTCCAATTAGTTAGCTGTTGATTACCCCCAAGATAAAAGTGTCATTACTGTACTAATGTTGTTTGCTGTGCCAGTCATTGATGTGGTTATTTGGTCTTGAAACTGGGGTTGGACTATTGATTGTTCTCCCTTAGCAGCTTGCGTAGTGCTCTCCAAAGCTATGAGAGTTATCCTTCAGGGGATGTAATTTCCAGGTCAATTCCAGCTCCATTGGCTCCCAAACCTGTGTCTGAGGTATGTCCTGTCTTCAGTAACAGGGTCTTACCATCAAGTTCTAGGAGGTAATCAAGGGCCAGCCTGTGTAATTTTGGGAGTCTCTTGGAGTACCCTGACCAACAACTCAAAGGAAGGTTTCTCCTGTTTGTCACTGTTTCTTATTAAGTAGTCTTCAGCTATACACATGGACTTGTGTAGTGATATTTTATGTGTAATTTGTCAGGCTTTTGAACCAACAGGATTCCCTCTGCTTTTTTATACTAGCTAGGCATTATTTATTTCTTCTTTCTCTGTCCCTGTCTAACCCTCCACCCACACCATCCCACCTTTAAGGTACCATTTTCCCCATTTCTCTCTTGATAATACCAGTCTCTATGGTCCCACCTCTCTTGAGCTCCTTTCCCTTTATCCCCATAATTCCTTGTATATCCCTCCCTTCCCTCTCCCATTCAAATACCCCCATTTTACCCATTTCTCCCTTAGTAACACCTGTCTCCGTTATCGCTCAGGTTCCTTCTTTCCCTTTACCTCCCTGGTTACTTTCCATTTTCCTGGCTCCTGCAGTTGTATCAGGATATATACTCATAAGGATGTAGTGCTAGGATCCACAAATGAGGGAGAACAAACATCATCTGTTTCTTCTGAGTCTGTTACTTCACTTAGTATAACAGTTTCTAGTTCCATCCATTTATCTGCAAATTTCATGATTTCAGCTTTCTTTATGGCTGAGTAGAACTCCACTGTGTAAATGTATTACATTTTTGTTATCCACTCGTCAGTTGAGGGACACTTAGGTTACTTCCATTTCTTAGCACCATGCAGTGGTTGAATTCAGGCACTCTCAGGCAAACTGCATAAGTCTTGGCTTTCTGGGTGATTTTTCTGATGCTTAATGAGTTGCACCTTTTGAATAAATGCTTTCCCACATGTGCTGCATTCATAGGGTTTCTCCCCACTGTGAATTCTCTGATGCCGAAGGAGCTGTGCTTTCCATGCAAAAGCTTTGCTACATTCACTGCATTGAAATGGCTTTTCTCTAGTATGGGTCCTCTGGTGATGTATGAGGCTTGGCTTCTGACTGAAGGTTTTCCCACATTCATTGCATTTGTAGGGTTTCTCACCTGTATGTGTTCTCTGATGGGCTATCAGGCTTGACTTCTGGGAGAAGGCCTTTCTACATTCACTGCATTCATAAGGTTTCTCCCCAGTGTGAGTTCTGTGATGTATTTGCAGCTGTGATTTTCCAAGGAATAATTTTCCACATTCAATACATCCGTAAGGCTTCTCTCCTAAGTGACATCTTTGATGTCTTATTAGCTCTGACTTCTTAAAAAAGATTTTTCACAATCACTGCATTGATAGCTTTTCTCTTTCATATGGGTCATACGATGTTTACTAAGTTGTGGTTTACTGAAGGCCTTGCCATATTCACTGCACCCATATAGTTTCTCTCCTTTGTGAATACTTTGATGCCTGATAAGCGAGTTCCTGCTGAAGGCTTTTTTATATTCACTACACACATAAGGTTCCCTCCCTGTATGTGACCTCTGATGAGTAATAAATTCTGACTTCCAAGTGAAAGCTTTCTCACAATCAATACATTTATAGGGTTTCTCTCCTGTGTGTTTTCTTTGATGCATGATGACTTTCAATTTCTGAGAGAAAGTTTTCCCACAATCACTGCAGCTGTAGGGTTTTTCTATTCTATGAATTATCTCATGAATGTTTAGCTGTGGTTTGCTGCTAAAGGTTTTTCCACATAAACTGCAAGTATAGGGCTTCACTCCAGTATGAGTTCTCTGGTGCAGCGTGAGCAATGACTTCCTAATGAAAGCTTTCTGACATTTATCACATCCATATGGTTTTTCTCCTGAGTGAGTCCTTTGGTGAATAGTGAGCACTGACTTTTGTGAAAAGGCTTTACCACATTCCTTGCACTGATAGAGCGTCTCTCCTGTATGAGTTCTCTGATGTACAATGAGCATTGATTTCCTACTGAATGCCCTCTGACATTCTTCACATTCATATGGTCTTTCTCCTGAGTGAGTACTTTGGTGAAATGTCAGCAATGACTTTTGTTTAAAGGCTTTCCCACATTCACTGCATCGATAAGGTTTCTCTCTGGTATGAGTTCTCTGGTGTACAATAAGCTGTGAATTTCTGTTAAAACCTTTACCACATTCTAAGCATAAATAGACTCCTGAATGTGTTACGTGATTTGTAACAAGCTGTGATTCTTTGTTGCTGTTTTCTCTACATTCATTGTAATCACAGTATTTTACTTCACCATAGATTCTGTCAGATTTTTGATAAAGCAGTAATTTTTTACTTAGCTCATTTTTTTTTTTCTTCCACAGTTACTTTTTGGAATAAAAAAATCAAAAGGATATTTTAGAGTTTTTCCATGTGTGCCCCATTTAAAATGGAGTCTCTCACTTTTAAATGAACATAGTTCACACTTGAATTCAATATCTCCTCCAAAACATCATATCTCTGCATTTAAACTTGTCTTCCTTATCTTTAGGGCATAATTTAGAAGAACCATCTAGCCAGACCTATAAGGGGGGGGAATCATACTGTATAATTTCCTTCATGATTATACTTACAAATAAAGCTTCTGGCTGGGCGTGGTGGTGCATGCCTTTAATCCCAGCACTCAGGAGGCAGAGGCAGGCAGATCTCTGTGAGTTCAAGGCCAGCCTGGTCTACATAGTGAGTTCCAGGCCAGCTGGGGCTACAGGGAGATCCTGTCTCAAAAAGACCAACCCCCCCCCAAAAAAACAAATAAAGCTTCTGAAATGGATTCTAGTATGCTGGGGAGCAAATAAGCCCTAAAATCATGTCTTACTGTGCAGCCCAATCAGACTCAAGATCTTCCTGCCTTAGTCTCCCAAGTACTAGAACTATAGGCATCAATGACCCACCATGCCTGGCTTGGACAATGACACATGAAATAGATTTTAAAATTACAAATGCTAAAAATATGCAGTATTCTGTGAATTTTAAGTATATAATCAGAACTCATTTAGCTGAAAGATTATGGAAAGCAAGTAATTAGCAAACATTATATGAAAAAAGTGAGACTAAGTAAACAAGAAAGCAAGATTAGTATACACTTCGGTTGTTGGTTTTTATTTGTTTTGTTTTGTTTTTTGAGACAGGGTATCCTTGTAGCCCTAGTTGGCCTGGGATGTACTATGTAGACCAGGCTGGCCTTGATCTCACAGAGATCCACCTGCCTCTGCCTCCAGAGTTCTGGGATTAAAGATGTGGCCCACCATGCTCAGCCACAGTATACACTTTTGCATGATATAAAGGAAGAAATACTGGGTATGATGCAGAGTAAATATGGGCTACCACTTTATATTTGATATATGGGAAATATTAATTTTCCATACTACTGTTAGATTTTTGGTTTGATTTTTTGATACAGGGTTTCCCTGAGCCCCAGCTAGCCTGGAACTTACTATGTAGAACAGGCTAGCTTCAATCTCACAGAAATCCATTTGCCTCTGCCTCCTGAGTGCTGGGATTAAAGGTGTGAGCCACCATGTCTGGCCCTATTGTTACATGTTAAGAACAGTCTCAGCACCAGCAAGATTGCTGAGCAAAGGCACCTGCTGCCAAGTTTGATGACATGAGTTCAATCCCTGGGACCTGTATGTTAGAAGAGAACTTACTTTGTTCTCCACAGGTGAACCATGAAATGCATGTCTCCTCCACAATAAATAAAAATGTCAAAATTAAAAAAAGAATCTCTTATAAGATCATCCATTGAATGAATCACTGATATCAGTAACTTCACCATCACTAAATCTTCTCTTGGGGGCTTAAAATTGTTTTTATTTAATTTGTGTGTGCATTCACACACAAACATATGTGCCACAATGTGTTTGTAGTTCAGAGGACAACTTGGAGGAGTTAGTTCTTTCTTTTTACCATGTGTGTCCCAGTGATCAAACTCAGGCTGTCATGCTTAGCTGCAAATGCCTTTTATTTACTGAGCCATCTCATATCCCTGCTTTTGGCTTTCTGAGACAAGAGTTTCATTTGGTAGCCCAGGCTGGGCTTCAACTTACCTGTCTTAGCCTCCCAAATTCTGAAATTATAGGTAGGTGTAAGCCACCATAACTGGTTTCAATATTAATACTTTTATCAAGGTTTGGCATTAATTTCTTTTTAATTGGGCCAGTAATTGAACCTAAAGCTAATATTGTAACTCTGTCTATATAATGTTATTAATAGGAATTATTCTAAACCACAAGAATAGTTTATATAACTTTTAGGGTAGAAGGATCAGAAGTTCAAGATTATTCCTGACTAAAAAAAAATTCTTTACATAACATTAGGATTCTTATTCTCTCTCTCTCTCTCTCTCTCTCTCTCTCTCTCTCCCCCCCCTTTGGACAAGGGTCAAGGGCTCACTAAATAGCCCTGGAACTCATTAGGTAGACCAAGCTGGTCTCAAACTCACAGTGATCCACCTGCCTCTTCTTTCCAAGTTCTAGGATTAAAGATGTGTACCACCATGTCCAGCTTTTTTACTTTGAAAAAAAAAATGTATATGAATGTATTGTCTGCATGTAGGTTAAGTGCACCCATGTTGTGCAATGCCCATGGAGGACAGAAGAGGTTGTCGGATCCCCTGGGACTGGAGTTACGGACAGTTGTTAGCTGCCATGTGGGTGTGGGATTTGAACCCTGCAAGTCAGTGTTCTT